GTCACCTTGATCACATATATCTTTGTCAACATTTCAAACCCGCATTCAACAAAAACAGCCTTCAGAAAATATTTTTTAACGAAACTCTGTCTTTTGGCGACTTAAATAAATTAAAATGAAAGCAAAAAGTCGTGAAAGCTGGAAGAAAGTTAGAAGAAACCGGCGACAACTTAGAAAACAAAAATATGTGGTAAAGTTTGGCTTCTATTCCAAATATTGAGTTGGATATCGCGTTTTCAATTAGATCATCTTCCGACATATACCCCCCTCCCCCCCCCCAATTTGGGTAGGGGTATTCCGCTGGGATTCTGGGATTCTGAAATTTGTAGACCCTGTTTATGAAAAAAGATATAATTTATTGCACTGAGTTCCTGTTTCAATTATCATGTCATCTCGTGTATCGTTTTTTTGCGACCATAATAACCAGTTTCGGTCAATACGAAAGTAGAAACCCTGAATATGACAGGAAACTCGTGAAGAACTTGGAACTTGAGTGAAATTGCATACTGTTTATGACAGGAAGCTCAAAAAACCATACTCTGTTCAGCAGATCATCCCCGTATAGTCCATATATGGGGGTACACCCCCGGGCACATAACAGACTTATCTATTTACAAATTGGCTAAAGCTAATTATCTTTGCAATATCAGACTGCCGAATTTTTCATCTTTCATGTCATGGTTTTTATATCATCCAAAATTTGATTTATTTCTGGCCAGAGTACGAAAGTATATAAGCAAAAGCTTGAAGTTTCGATGTAAAGTATACGTTGGAGCCTCAGGTTACATTCAGATCATTTATATCAAGCATTTCAATTAAGTGCCTTAAATTTTGCCGGAGACGTTTCTTTAGAAAATTGGCCATTTTGTCAAGGCAAGAATGTAAAACGACAGCGTCAATGATTCGTGTGTTGGCGTTTCTGCACCAAGATATCTTTCCATCCTCACTACGACAGTGTCTTTAAGTCTTACACTAGTAACTGTTCCAGGAAACTCTCTGATATGTTACGCCATTTTGAAAGATCCATTCCACGAGCTACGAACTCCGTTCACTTTTCTGATTCTAAGTCTCGCGATAACAGACCTATTGGTTGGAATCTTAATGGATCCGATATCGACAGTATTCCATCTTAGCGAAGCACTCAAAATAGACCTCGTAGATATTTGGATTCTCCACATATCTTACTTCATTCTCTCGACAGCTTCGATCCTCTCTTTAGGTGCATTAACAATCGACAGATACGTTGCTGTGATCTACCCCCTGAAATACAAAAGCTATTTGTCTACAAAGAAGTGTATCTATCTGTCCTTGGTTATTTGGCTGGTATCGATCGGGCTTAGTATGGTTTATTTTAAATTTGGGTATATATCTTACTCTTTAATTTTCGCCAGTACGGCTGTTTCTCTAACTTTTTTGGTACTATTGTTCGTCTATGTCAGCATCTTTAATCGTCTTCGCACTCAGGTCAGGTCATTGAGCCGTCAAAGAGCTTCGAGCACACAAGCAAACAGAATGAATAAAAAGAAAATCTCCAGTTTAAAATGGGAAGCGAAGGTTACAAAGGCTTTGGTACTTGTCTTACTCGCCTATATTCTCTGCTTCGCTCCAGCATGCATCATTATTTACATCCTAAACTTTTGTACGAAATGCAACTGCGAGTTTATTCACTGGCTTAGAGACTTGCAGTTTGTAATTGTCCTCCTAAACTCTGCGATTAATCCTTATTTGTACGCTTGGCGTANTCCGTCCGTCCGTCCGTCCGTCCGTCCGTCCATCCATCTTTCATTATTGTCATTATTGTTATTCATTATGTTAGTCATTATTTTCGATTCATCCATCCATTCATTCCAGTTCATCTATCTATCCATCCAGTTTCTTTCTTTCTTTCTTCCTTTCTCTTTCCTTCTCTCGGCCCTCCCTACCAAGAATGTTTCTGCTAAATGATTATCAAATTTCTAACATTTCTATTGCTCTTCCCAGTCATAATTTTTTAGTAGGTTGTTTTCACTTTTCCGACGAAGGACTGACGCCCGAAACGTCAGTTTCACAAAGCTTCTTACGGTGATTCAATTTATCCACAAGTTCCGACTGTTTTATTCAGAAACACTGACGCAGTCCAAATTAGTATTCTACTAGTCATCACCACTTGTCTTCCCAACAGCTTAGAAATAATATCTTTAGCACTACAGCTATTGCTATTATACTTTTCAAATAACCATTCTCCTAATTACAGATCTGTCACCTTGATCACATATATCTTTGTCAACATTTCAAACCCGCATTCAACAAAAACAGCCTTCAGAAAATATTTTTTTACGAAACTCTGTCTTTTGGCGACTTGATTAAAGTTAAGTGAAAACAAAAAATCGTGAAATCTGGAAGAAAGTTAGAAGAAACCGGCGACAACTTAGAAAACAAAAATATGTGGTAAAGTTTGAGTTCTATTTCAAATACTAATTCGGATATCGCGTTTTCAATTAGATCATCTTCGTTCTACGCATACCAGAATTATCTATTTACAAATTGGCTAAAGCTAATTATCCTTGCAATATCCGGCTACCGAATTATTCATCTTTCATATCAAGGTTTTTATATCATCCAAAATTGGATTTATTTCTGGCCAGAGTACAAAAGGTATATACGCAAAAGCTTGGAGTTTCGATGTAAAGTCTACGTTGGAGCCCCAGACCTTTTAAGAGAGCATTATCAAGCATTTCAATTAAGTGCCTTAAATTTTGCCGCAGACTTTTTTAAAGAGATTGGCCATTTTGTCAAGGCAAGAATGTCAAACGACAGCGTCAGTGGTTCGTGTGTTGGCGTTTCTGCACCAAGATATCTTTCCATCCTCACTACGACAGTGTCTTTAGGTCTTACACTAGTAACTGTTCCAGGAAACTCTCTGATATGTTACGCCATTCTGAAAGATCCATTCCACGAGCTACGAACCCCGTTCACTTTTCTGATTCTAAGTCTCGCGATGACAGACCTCTTGGTTGGAATCTTAATGGATCCGATATCGACAGTATTCCATCTTAGCGAAGCACTCAAAATAGACCTCGTAGATATTCGGGTCCTCCACATATCTTACTTCATTCTGTCGACAGCTTCGATCCTCTCTTTAGGTGCATTGACAATCGACAGATACGTTGCTGTGATCTACCCTCTGAAATACAAAAGCTATTTGTCTACAAAGAAGTGTATCTATCTATCCTTGGTTATTTGGCTGGTATCGATAGGACTTAGTATGGTTTATTTTAAATTTGGGTATATATTTTACTCTTTAATTTTCGCCAGTACCGCTGTTCTTCTAACTTTTCTGGTACTATTGTTCGTCTATGTCAGCATCTTCAATCGTCTTCGTAAACAGGTAAGGTCATTAAGCCGTCAAAGAGCTTCGAGCACACAAGCAAACAGAGTGAATAAAAAGAAAATCTCCAGTTTAAAATGGGAAGCGAAGGTTACAAAGGCTTTGGTACTAGTCTTACTCGCCTATATTCTCTGCTTCGCTCCAGCATGCATCATTATTTACGTCCTAAACTTTTGTACGAAATGCA